ATTTATGTACACACATGTGTTTGTTACAGATGTGTAAGCCTCTATGAGTTTCTGTGTACACGTTTGTGCGGAATGGCTGGGACATACCTTTCTAGCTGTTTCCCAGTACTGGTGAGTAATGTCAGGAATCTCATTTGACATTTGTCTGCTGACACTGTTACTGCCGATTGAACATGATGTCACTGATACAAGCATCAAACTCAATTGTAACTGTACATGTCTATCTTGTCCTTGCTATTTAAATGCCTTTCCAAATTATGGTATTGTACATGTAGGTGTCTCAACACTTAGGTTTCCACAAGATAACTTGCTTAAATATCATTTAATTTTGATGAAACTTGGTAAGCATATGCAATATAAAATGATTGAGGCTGAATTCAAAGTTGAGTAAATTCCATACATAATTAAATTACATGCTGCCCTATATTTGTTAACAGTCAGCACAATAACTGAATCAAATATGACACATTTTTGTAAAAGGTAGTGAATTTATGTATTTACAAAGACAGGCTTATTTAATACCCAGTACATAAACATAACTAACAAAGACAGGCTTATTTAATACCCAGTACATAAACATAACTAATAAGCATACTGCATACTTCGTGGTTGATGAAACAATAGTACTTTACAAAAACAAAGATCAAATTTGAAGAAAATCTGCCTGTAAGCATTCTGGTATTTCTTAAGTTAATGATCAATATATTTGGGGCAAAAGGAGACAATATGACGGGGCCACTGAAGGGCCACTTGAAAGTGCCAACTCAATGAAGTGGCCAAATCCGGACACAGTAATATAACAGTCCACACAGTCACATATTGACAATGGACTAACCAGTCCTGACTGTCAACCAATTAAAGCTGAATGTCACGCAAAAATGAGTCCGTGCCAATTTTTAGTATTTTGATTTGTCTAAGTCATGGGACAGAACTCATAAACCTTAGGTGACTATCAACACTAAAGCCAAAGTTAAGGTATTGCCTAATGAGGCTTAAGGAAACAAAGAAGAAATAAAAAATAAAGGAAGAACAAAAAGATTCCAAATATTGCAATGAGTGCAACAAATGTATTAGTCCCCCACTAGTTCCCAGGGAGGACTATAGGTTTGCATTTTGTCCATCTGTTCGGGGCATATCTTCTATATTATTTCACTTGGAGTTACCAGATTTTGTATGTAAGTGCATATTGGGAAAGCAGAGTTACAAGATCACTTTGACCCATGTTTTAAGCTTTGCCTCAACCTTTGAAAAAATTTGTCCATGGCATAACTTCTATACTATTTCACCGTAACAGTAAGTTGTAAGATGCATGCTGTTTTTCACTGATATACCAGCCATAACTTTCCGGTGCAAAATAGTGAGATCAGTGATTATTTTTAGTGAGATTTGGTCAAAAACAGTGAGATTTTACTCTGAATTAGTGTGAAATTTGTGAGACATTTAAAACATAAATTATGTAGCATATAACATAGTATTGAATCATTTGTGTTATTCTGAAGCCTTTTATTACTTTGTTAGAGCCAAAATTGAAGATTTATTGATATTTTAAAGGAATTTAGGAAAGTTTACACGTGACACACGGTCCAGATAAAGCTGTTAACATTTATAAGTAAATATATCACATAAAAGGCAAAAAATAAGAGTAATTAAAAAAAGAAGAAATTCTAGAGGGATGTCCTTGTTAACACAGGTTAAAAAAATAAATCTCAAAACATTGGGAATATTTAATATTAATTATTTCCTTAAAACAACTTCTTCTGAAGAACGGACAGGCCTACAGTCATGACATTTGGCTGAAAGCTTTGGTGGTAGGAGCCATACAAAGTTTGAGAACGAAAATTACCTTGACCTACTTTCAAGGTCACAGGGGTCAAATATGTCAAAAACTTCAAACGACTTCTTCTGAAGAACTAAAAGGTATAGAATCTTCATATTTGGCTGATGGATTCCTGGGTTGGAGCTTAACAAAGTTTGAGAATGAAAAAGACCTTGACCTACTTTCAAGGGCACAGGGGTCAAATGTGTCAAACACTTAAAATGACTTCTTCTGAAGAACTGTAAGGTATATGGAGCACAGCAAAGTTTGAGAATGAATAAGACCTTGACCTACCTTCAAGGTCACAGGGGCCAAATATGTCAAAAACTTCAAACGACTTCTTCTGAAGAACTGAAAGGTATATGGAGCCCAACAAAGTTTGAGAATGAAATTAGTTTGACCCACTTTCAAGGCCACAGGGGTGATACATGTCAAAAGCTTCAAATGACTTCTTCTGAAGAACTGAAAGGTATAGAATCTTTATATTTGATTGATGGCTTCCTGGGATAGAGCCCAAAAAAGTTTGCGAATGAAATGACCTTGACTTACTTTCAAGGTCACAGCATACAAATATGTCAAACAGTTCAAACTACTTCTTATGAAGAATTAAAAGGCATAAAACTATAATATTTGGCTGGTGACTTCCTGGGATAGAGCTCACCAAAGTTTGCGAATGAAAATGACCTCAACCTACTTTAGAGGTCACAGAGGTCAACAAAATTTTAATGGATTTGTTCTTTAGAACTTAAAAGATTTGGCTGGTAGCTTTTTGGAATAGAGCTAACAAATTTGAGAAGGAAAATGACATTGACCTACTTACAAGGTCATAGGGAAAAATATGTCAAGCAACTTCTGAAGAAGAATCAAAAAGCATAGAATCTTATAATAATATTATGCTGGTAGTTTCAACAGATGGACCCAAACGTTTCTGTTTCGGTAAACCATGTTTTCGATTGTAATGAATTAACAGCTCTTATGTTGCTGTTAAATGTTAATATCAACTGTCATCACATATTAATTAGCACCTAGCCCCCACTGGATGTGGGATCACTGATTTAATTGCTTAACAGTTCACACATTGATGAGCAAGTCACTAAGCCATGCCACGCTAAATCGGCTGGCCGGGCCATTCAGATCTTTCACACATATGCTGCTAATTGGCTTGGCCTGTAATTTAAGTGGCTGACGTGTGACTTCAGATCTCTCAGTGACCAAGGTCAGTGTGAATCCATGTAGCTATTGTTTATTCACTAAGATTGACCAAATTTCGTTTCTTTTCGTGAGACCGATTGAAATTTGTGAGAAATGTGTCTCACGCCGTGAGGAATTTTTCTCAGGCAGTTTTCGTGAGTCTCACGCCAAAATCGTTAGATATGGCATGTATGACAGTAGTCACATGTCACTATCACTACAACTCTATCCATAATAAATGAAGTCGATGTTGCTTGTACCAAATCTACAGGGGGATTTCTCAAAGTGCTTTGACAGGACAGGAATCCATAAGACCACTGGGCCTTGTAATGTTACTGTTGTTCCCCATTAAGAAGAGTAACTGTGCATGCTTCTTTTAAGTATTATTCTCTATTAAAAAGACAGACTCTAAGTAGCAGTCGTCTGTGTTGCAGGAGAGGGTACTAATTGAGTGGCTGTTGTCAGGAAGTCCTGTGTGTGCCTCTCTGGCTGCTGATGTCTGGTGTTTCCTAGTCAGGTGAGACAAGTGCTGATTTTGACCTATATTTTACGCTTCATTGACTTAGTCAAGAAGAATTGCTCTCATCTTCATGTAATGTTAAGAAGAATTGCCTACTACAAGTGCTATATTGATTATACTTGCATCAATTGGGTATCTAGGGTTGCTCTACTGATGGCATATTGCGAGTACTGATTTTGACCGATATTTTACATGTTTTTGATGACTGTTGCACTGCGAGCGGTGGATGTCAATGACCTCATCTTCTTGTTATCTTTTCAGGTATGGCAGTGCTGATCTGTGTTACAGTCACATTCAAGTTCTCATGGAGCTTTGTCAAACAATCAAGGGACCAAACTCTGATTTACACATAATTACCTCCCTGGTGTGTAGACTGTCCAAGTTCCTGTCTCCAGAACATCAGGTACAAATAGCAATCAGATTTATCTCACGATGGTCACATCATTCTTCATCTCTAATAAGTTTATTTACACATAATTTGTTATACCCCCGCAACGAAGTTAGGGGGGTTTACTGGAATCAGGTTGTCCGTCCGTCCGTCTATGGACGCAATGCAGTACCATGTACTCCTCCTAAACTACTGGATGAATTTCAATCAAATTCACTGATAACAATCTTTGCAGCTTGTGTGTAAAGTACTTTTCATTGGGTTATCTCTCCTTTTAACGAAGTTATGACCTTTGGTTCATAAACCTTCTCTAGACCATGACATTGTCTAGAAAGCACAAGAACTATTTTTATTTTTTATTCAATTCTCCTTCCATTCAATTCATTCAATTTGGTATGGTAATACTAGAAGCAATAATGTTTAACACATATAACATGTTTTTTTTTGTCAGCTAGGTTTCAACTTTCCGCGTTTTGAAAGGTCACAAATGATTACCTTACCGAAATGGCTAATTTTCTCGGAAACAGTTGGTATTTTTTATACACCTATACGTAAGAGTATTGTAGCCAATTATGCAAGCTATATTAAGACAAACTTCCAAGGTCATGAGGTCAAAGGTCACAGATGCATTATGTTACTGAAATGGCTAATTATGGCAGAAATGGTAGGTATTTTGTATACACATACCTTGGAGTATATGTAGCGTTGATGCAAGCTACATTGTGACAAAATTTCGAGGTCAAAGTTCATAGTAGTGGTGTTTGTCATTTCCATCGGTCTGTCGATACGACATCTGAGGTTAGACCTTTTCATGACCCTTGATCTTTCTATATATTTTTGCCCTTGTTTATTTAGCCCCTACAGGGGCAACAAGCAGCCCGAATGTGGGGCGTATTAGTTAGCCCATAGGCGACAGTTCTAGTTAAACATGAATCTAGTGACAATGTTAAGTAATTTAGAAAACATTTACGTAATGAGCATAACCTTGTGGGTTACTTATTGACATTTGAAATACCTAGAGGATATAGATAACTATTTAGAATATTATACATATTTGCATTCAGTAATATACTTCAATTCTTTGTATGAGATGTACATTGTTATGATATGTGTAGTTATTATGTGTTGTTATTACCCAGAATTCCCTGGTGAGGCAGTTTCCACCCTGTGATGACATTGCTCTGTGGTGTAAACTCCCTGTGACCATGTTGCCAGGCGACCAGGTGAGAGAGATCACAGCCAGTATGACAGCACTATGCCAACAGAACATGGATAGCTTTATCAGTGCTGCAGAGGTCACCTGTCATCACACAGAGTTACTGGTGAGGGTATTATAATGCTTTCTGTAATGTCTGTGATCCCTTTTTATACAACTCTTCAAATGTCAATTATTGTATTGTCTTTCTGTATGAAATCTTTAAAATTGTGTTTGGTTTAAACATAACTTCTGCTACACCGTACAATGGAAACATGGTAACTGATATATGTTGGTTTATGGTCTGATCTGTACTCTGATCTACAGATGTGTAGTTTGACCTACCTGACCAGTGCACAGATTTGTTGTGAGGTTTGGGACCAGTCTATTCAGCCGAAGGTTCAGTCAGCCCTTGTGGAGCGTGTGAAGACGATATGGGAGGGTGTGTTTGTGTCCGACTGGATGTCAATCCCCCAGACCCAGGTCTGCCTTGGCAAACTGCTGCAGTACTCAGGGCAGGTGGTGGACCAGTTCACCAACTCAGACCTGCTCAAGGTAAGGACCTCACTGACAATTCTAATTCATTTGAGATGTAACACAACATTTGATTAGTCAATTAAAATAATTTGACAATATAACCACGATATATATTGTCTGCAAATTTCTCATTTGCATATGAACCGTGAATGGCGATTATTCATGACGTCAATGACCCCGACTGACCCTGGCACGTCATGAAATTGATTATTCATGACTTCACCAACAATAGCATGGCCCTGAAAGGTCAACTTAATCCCACCTCACTTTATTCCTGATGTCACCATTCCACGGCAGAGTGACCCAGAATTTTAAGAGAACACTCAAAAATATCTTAAAATCCTCATTTCTTTTGGTTTTATGGCTTATATGAATAAGAATTTGGATAACCATACTGTATTTTGCCTTAAAACTCTAATTGTGACGGTATAATCACAACATACCACCGCAAATCTCAAAATACAGTAGGGTTATCCCCTAGTTAACATGTCGGACCTTCTCAAGGTAAGGATCTCGCCACTACAGGGACCTGTATACAGTAGGTCTTCATTGACAACAAATTGGGACCTGTATAATGTAGGTCCTCACTGACAACAAACTGGGACCTGTATAAGGTAGGTCCTCACTGACAACAAATTGGGACCTGTATAAGGTAGGTCCGCATTGACCACCAACTGGGACCTGTATAAGGTAGGTCCTCACTGACAA